GGGTGGGATTCGAACCCATGACCTCCTGCTTACTAGTGCAGATGTCTTAACCACTCGACCACCGAGCTTGCCGGGGTCGGCTGGCCGGTCCGAGTCCGAGGTGCGTTGAAAATTTAGTTTTGGTGCTTATTACAGCAATGTACATAGTCCAATATATCAATATAAGACACACATTGGCAACAGATCAAAGTGAATTTTAACAAAAAAATGGGCTCTCAATTAATTAGTAATTAATACTGATTTCGTAAGGCAAATGTTCGGAAGGAAAATAGCCCATCTTTAGGCATATTAGAGCAAGTCACAGGAAAAAGGAACTTCCTGTAAGGATACATCTCTCATAAATTGCCAAAAAACAAACAAAATCTTTTTTCCACAGACCATATGGCATTATGAACTTTCTAAAGTCTTGACAAATTGTACAAATCACTCAACACCTTGTTTTGTTGTTGCTCATGTAAAACGCCTGCAAGGGTTTGATTTCGACAAACTGCATCACGTATGCCAGGGCCGTTTTCCAATACTCAACTTCGTCTCCGTCTCAGGCTTCGTCGCCCAAACTAATTCCCAATTGTGAGCCTGAAGCGTTTAACTCAAATTGGCTTACTGTAAGTTTTTGCTCTCTTGGATCTTATTTGATGTTTTGTGGCACTATTAGACTAATTAGTGCGCTTACAGCTTCAAAGTCAGGTAGTAAAAAAAAAAACAGTTGAAACCTGAGATGGAGCCGCAGCTGAATATTGGAAAACACTCCAAGAGAACTTCCACACCTGCTTTCTTCTACAATTTATTTTGCTTACCTAAAGATACCCACACTACCACAATCACTCAGCCCAAAACCCACGAATTCAACATGAACATTTAGTCACATGAACTGATCTTAAAATGTACCTACCGATAGCCGCTGTGAGACACTGGATGTTCTCTACAAAGTGCGGGAGGTCCACTAACTGTTTCTGAAGCTGGAGCAACGGTTCCGCCCGACGCTCGTAGTTCAAGAACACCTCCTGAACATGGCTGTCCACAACCTATGTGTAGAAAAAAATAAAGCGAGAAATACCACCCACCTATGGTTTGGTTATAAGACTATCAAACCTAACCCCCTGTGGAACACAAGATGCTTAAAACTGGAAATTTTCTGAATTACTTCGCCGGACAGAGGCAGGGTAGAGAAAAATGCGAGCAGTGGTTCAAACTTGTTTCCAATGCTTGTAAAAAAAACTGGGTAACAGCATGGCTTCACTGACAAAAACCATTTTCACTTGGACTCACCGTCGCTTTTCCTGCCGCAGTCTCTATTTCTTTATGAAGTTCAGCCCACATCTTCTGAAATCTAGTTTAAAAATGAGAGAGAAAAAACCAAATGACATCCAATGTACGAATAAAGTTTTTGAGTACTTGAATACATTACAGCATCACTTTTAAATATGAAACTATGCTTTATATACGCTGAACTAAACACACATCTTCATTTCTGACAGAGGCTGGTCGCTAAGACATCTTTAAGGTGTAATACCTGTCCAGAAGTTCAGCACCCGCATCCTGATTGCAATGTGTAGAGACTGAAGGACTGCAAGGTTTGAAAACAAACAAAGCATTTCCCGTAAAAAAAAAATGAAATTATTAGAGTAAAAACAGACGTTTTTATTTTGGGTGGAGACAGTTCCGGAGCTAAAAGGGAAATTCTTTGGGGAGGACAAATCCCCCTCAAAATGCAGCAATGCACACCTGAACAATTTCAACTTTGTAACAGAAGTTAAGACTGAGTGGTCGATAAAATATAATCACAGAAAACCTTTTTTTTTTTCACATTCATCCAAGACGACAAGATGACCACCGGTTTGCCAACGTAAATAACTGACCCGTGATGTGTACTCACATGTCTTTTCTCAATGCTGCACGCTCTTCTCTGTGATAAAAAATAAGAAGAAAATGAGGTCAGTGAAAATGTCTTTGCAGATATTGCAATGCATATGCAAAAAAGTAAATTTTCCCCTAAAATTAACCCCCGCCCAAAAAAATTCAGTCTTCAAATGATCAGGCCTCGTTCTAAGCCATTACAAAGTTAATGATTCACCAACTGCTTTGCCATCCATTTTACCTGCGAGATCGCTTGACTTCTTTCGCCTTTGTGCTAAGAGTCTTCAGTCTGGAACAAGGGGAAATGAATACCAATAAATTGATCCAAATTAAATAATCAAACCCTTTCGGCACAAGACCACCTGGGAATGAATTCGCTTCACCATAGTAATCAGAGAAATCTACAAGATCGAAGAAGTTAAATTACAAATTGAACAAAATAAAAACGAAACATGGAAAAGGTGCAGCCCCAGTAATGTACCACTTGAACATCTTAGCAATCATGAGCACAATCTGTTCAGCTCCACTCAAAGCAAATTCTGGACGGAATCGTAATGAAGTCTGTCCAGAGTCAAATCACGAGGGACTGGGAGGGTGAACTGTGATTCGTGACTTGAGGACCGGTGATTGGCCTGGCCTGAGAATTTGATTTACTACAACTCTTGAAATGCACTCCCATTATCTAAATTGCTATGCTACATGTACATGTATTTAAATGACCGATGCGGTAAGTTCCGAAGTGCACAAATGCTAAAATAAATGGCAGTATCAATGTTACCGGTAATAGCAAAAAAAAAACAACACACAAATGAAAGAATGGGATTGGCTTGTCACTGAAACCAGTGGTCAAATCACATCATCGGTCAGCGGTCTGAGTTCCGCGGTCTGTGAAGAAAAAAAAAATTCAGAAAAGAAGAAAAACAAACAAAAACCTGGGCATTACCCAGTGGACAAGTCTTGCTGGACATGATGCAGCCGTTCCTTGAACTGGTCAAACATGGCCGTGGGTTCGGCAGGTTGGGGGTTAGTCCCTCTGCACCTCAGAAGCAGTTGAAGAATACCTGCAATAAATCTGTGTAGACAGACTTTGCAGGTTAGTCTCAACAAATTTGGACACTCATATGACGGAAGATTTGCTATCCCAAAAGAGAAAAGAGGTGGGCGTGTGAAAAACCATATAGTTCTAGGAGTAGGGATTTGCCAGCACACTGTCGATTATCGATAAACCCTAGCACTATGGGGTTTGTCATGCCTACTGTGTTCCCACAAGGGAGGCGGGTGTGACAAACTCCATAGTTTTTGAGACTTTATTGGTATAGCTGAAATAACCTCACTGCTATCAGTCCACTTCCACTGCAGGAACATCAATCAGCTTGTGGTGTTTTGACTTTTGAGGGCTGGGAGATGGACAGAGTTCCATACTTGGGCATCACTTGACACACCATGCAAAAACCCCATGAGAATGATCTGAAAAGTTCCACCATGTCTAAGCATTGCTTAGTAAATGTTCAATATTTTCCCTGCTAAATTTGACAACGATTTAGGATTTGTTATTGCTTCTGATGGCTGGGCCTTAGTGATTTCCACATACAGATTTCAGAAAGAGATTCATATACAGACAACACTTGAGGCCCTGTGCACAAACCTATGAGACTTGTCTGAAAACAAAAGAAGTGTTTCCTAGTAAATGCTTTGGAATTTTCTCAGCTAAACTTCACTTTTCAGGACATGTTTTCACTTTCTGACAGTTGTTATAATATTTTGAGGGAAAATTTGTGTTGTCCGTAGGGCCAATGGAACTCTTTCCAAGATTACTTCCCGACTGGGGTATTCTCGCAGTTGGGATGACGTCAGTGAGTCTTAATTCTTCTCTCTGATTGGTCAGTTGGTGGCTAGCTATTCCATGTTTCACACTCGAAACTCAAAGGGGCAAAAATAGTGTTGTGGTCTTCAGGGAAAATCTGATTTATCGACTAAACTCTTCACCTTTACATCGAAAATGCCCGGAATTTCACTATTTAAGTGCTCTGAATATCTCCCACACTGTTTCAAAAGGGTTTCAGTTATTTTTTATCATAATAAAAAAAAAGGGGAAAACATGCAAATCCCCGTAGGCCTACGAAGTGAATGGAGAGTTGTTTTTTTTACCCAGAAGTGAGTGCAACCAATCAACCTGATAAATGGAACAACCTCCGACAGCGGGAATCACTGAAATTGCCTTGGTCATGAACTACATGTATTCCCCTAAAACTATAGAACTCAAATCTGCGATGAATATAGGGCTAGTACATTGTATGCATACAGCTCAGAAAAAGGATAGGCCAAACTCGCTCTGCCTCTCGCTCCGACTACTGGGAGCGATGACATGAAAGTTTGTAATAACATACCAAACAAGAAATCAAAATTTCACGAAAGTTCAAACACTCTTACCACAAATTTGATTCCAAACAGCCCATCAGCACACTCACATGACACTCACTCAAAAAAAGTATAATTAATTATGTACGTACGACTAGGTTTACGTTACGTTACAGCAACACAACTCGTCGCAAGATAGTGCTACCTGCATGTATCTCATACAAGAAGACAAGGAACCAGAGTCACAATCACAGAGAGGGCGCCCATCATTTTAGCCACAGGTTGCAGCCCAGCCCTGGACTCCCATAGCCAACAGTGATGAATATCCGAACTTCAAAAAATCAGGAAAAATACTCACGAGTTTCTCAGGAGTTCGAGACGTACGTCAAATTAAAGCCCAGTTTATGATTTTTCGTTTCCTTTTCAAATTTCCATTCATTCATCAACTGATGACTTTTGAAGATATTTATTTCCACAGAAGGTCACCCCTAAACGGCAGTCGAGCCCCTCGCCATTTTCGGATCGATTCTACGTGCTTCTAAAAAATAGACCGTTTTCAGGCATCGATTTCCTTCCAAACCTCATTCAAATGCAAGCTGGTATTCTCTTTGCGCAACTAAACCGTATCTTTTCCGTCTACAAATCTTCAAGTTCATGGACCACAAAGTGGTCCATTTCGTTGGCAGTTTTCGACTTCATGTCTGCATCCTTTGGCCTTCAAGTTGTAAATTAAATTTTGGCTTCATGGCAATTAAATTTGGCTTCATGGTAGATGCGGCTTATCAAAGGATGGATAATTATGTACATGTATGTGGCACCTGTAAAAAGAAGTCTCCCTTACCACAGCCCCAACGAACACTTAATTCTTGCTCAAATTGCACTCAAATTCTTCCTGCTCGAATTCTTCTTACTCCAAAATTCTAACAACAGTATACTATAATTCTATTCGAAAAATAACTTTTTCAAAGTGGCATTCCTATGAGCAGGGATCCCAGTGGCGCAGCAGTTAGAGCTAGCTACTTACCACTGAAGTAGAGTTCCCAGTTGAATTCCGGCTCAACAACGTACCCGCCCCTGCATGTCAGGACCCCCCCATTGCGGCTGGACGTGTGGATTTTGTGGACACAGGTATAATAATCCTGTTATTATCAATTCCTGAACATAAATTTAGTTCTAATGGTTTTAATTTCATAAGTGTATGTTCTCTGCACCCTGTAAATAATAAATTCGGCAAAAAAATTCTTAGGTATATTTAGTGGGGGGGGGTGTTGGGTGGGTGTCCAAACTGCAGATCTGAAATAATATTTTGATGCATGACTGCATTCTTGTAATAGAACAATTTGAAAACAAAGTGTAGTTCACATGCATTTATTCAAAAATAAATAGAACTGTCAACCAAAATGTAACGATCAATAATAAGTAAGACCTGGCTGACGGGTTTGGAAATTATATGACAAAACGCACGATAAAGTAAAGTGTAAACTAACAAACACTGAGTAATAACAACTATTACAATACCTCCAAACAAGGCTGTTTGGCATGAACAGAAGTAGGATTAGACGGAAGGTGATTGCAGTTGGCCGTAAATTCTGTTTTTAATCAACTAATTAGTAAAAACTTATTCTCAAAAATCACTGGATGCCTCCATATACACGTAGGGCCTTAATACAGGCACTTCACAACCTAGCTTCCAGACTTTGCGACGCTTTGACCAGTCACAGTGCACGAAAACTGTCGACATAATGCGCGTTTGGAAAGGGTCAACAGATTTTGCGCACTGAGATTGGAACCCTGGGAAGAGGGACCGGCCTCTTTTAGCGAGTCCGTTGGAGCTAATTAGCATTTTTTTGGTCCAAATTCCACGACTACTTATCATATCCTACCCCTGTACATGCTGAAAAACCCGGTTTAGTCATTTTACAGCTAGGGCCTCCCCCAGCCAGAAAAAAATGAAAAAAATCCAGCCGGCCTTGAGCCCACCTCCAGCCAATTCCCATAGGACTGTTGGACCGTGTGCTTAGTGGTCCTTTGTGTACAATCTAATGGGTTGTTTACAAAACGGTGCCTGGTACAGGCAGTGGGATGTTCTTTATCAGTGCCAGCTGTCTGAAACTTGTCAGAGGCCTCTTTCGGCTGTCTTTGAAGTGTTATTTTTGTGTGGGGGGGGGTTGTTGTGGTGGTGGTATGGCTTGGCTGGCGCGTGGCGAGGGCCCCCCTCCAAATCGGGATAGCCTGGGAAAACGGCCTGCACGGTACTGGGATGTAGTTTTTGTGGTTTTTGGTGGTTTGTAAGATCTGTAGAGGCTAGGGGACAACCACTGAAGCATTAATATACCTTTAGGACGGACTCAGGGCTCTGCAACCCTGAAAAATGAAATGGACTCAACGGAATAGTCCACTCCAGCCACCGTGTGAGTAAACATTCGTAACGCCTCGCAGGGTTTTAATTAAATACTAAGTCGCGGTGGACCGTATGTCGGACTGCAGAACATACACACGTGACTTCTACACTTACAGGATCGTAGATATCGCGGTTGTGCCTCCCCCACCGATAATTAATTCCGGTCAACAAAATCGAGCTTTGGTGGGTAAATGAATCCAAAATTGGTGCACTGAATCCAAAATATATGGACATTATTTGGCCGTTGGCATTTCCCCTGAAGCACGAAATGTAGCGTACCACGCTTTACAACCTTTAAATGCGGGGGCCTTGAGAATGCAACCAATCTAATTTCGAGGAAGATGAGATTTATGCAAAGTGTGTTCGATCACTTCTCACCGTCTTCCCTGTGCTTTATTTTCGAGCATAAACACACTTTGCAGTTTGTAGAAATCAATTATCAATGTCACGGGTTACGAACAGGATCAGTTTTCTGAATGAAGTTGACTTTTCAAAAGCAACTAATTAAATCCAAACGCCCATTTCCAGCCTTTCAAATAACTGTTGGAATGAGGAATAGACTGTGGTACACGTTAATTTCTAACCCTTATTTTCATTCTGAAAAATTAATTAATGTACTTTTATGAATAATGCAGTGCAATGTGCAAGTACTAAAAGATTCCAACAATTTCATAACAGTTTAGTGCAATAAACTTTTTTCAGTCTGACCACTTCAATGTGAATTTGTTCAGAGAATATCATGGGTTTATGCACGATCGGTTGGACGCACACGCATTATTGTAATTGTCTAGAATTTAATACAGTTGGCTCAGCCTTCAACAATCTGACATCTCCATTCTGCACGTATGTCTAAGAAATGAGACAACTCCACATAATGTAAATATACGCAACTCTTTGTTTATTTATAAACATATCAGAAATGAATGCAACATTTTCCTAAAAAATCCTGGATAAACGTGTTCCTCTTTGTCAAATTCAGCGAGGCTTTGAATGTGTGCGGCTAAACATAAAAAAAAAATGATACTGACGTAGGAAAACTCTAAATACATAGCTCAGAACACCCGGGCAGATTTTTCTTTATTCAATTTGCATATGAATTGATCCTCCGAGTGTGACAATGTAGGGGCTCTAGCAAATTCCTGATCAAAGACTTGTCAGTTCGCAGTATTAGTGAGGAATGATGGATTTCATTGGGAGGGTTTTCAATTTCCAACAAGATGATGCAATTTATTTCAACCCTTTAATTAATCCCTAACTAGGCAGCACAGGCAAGGAGCTATTCCTTGTCCTTAAAAAGCACCATACTGTGAGTAGACACAGTCCGAGTCAACCCTCTGTCTACCTTAACAAAAATCCAATCTAGAATCAAGATTGTCATCTCTGACGTCATCACTGCTCATTGGGTATGGAACACCAAACTGTTTGCAGGTTCGTCGGAGTGCCTTCTCGTATTCCTTGTTCAGCTTGGCCGACTGCTGCAGGGCGTATTTCAGGTCCTCAATTTCATCAAAGAAGCCCTGGGAAAAAACACAATATGATGTGTAGAGAATCTTTTTGTACTGTGCTTCACTGCATTTAGCCCCTACCATCCCAAATCAAGCGAAACCCAGTGACAATGATGGACCCAGGATCGCAAAATACCACCCACCAGTGCTTTACATGTGGGCTTATCCAAATTTGTTCAACAACCTCAATATCATTTTAAAAAATCAAAGCCAGGAAAGAACCAGGTATCCTTTTGCCAGAGAAGTTTCATAGTGAAGTATCGTTTGTTTGAAGTGACCATTTATTGAAAATTACTAAGCTACTCAAGGGAAGGTCTGACATTTCTTATTGCTTTTGAAGTTTTTTTCTCTTTAGTGGTCAGAATTAGTTTTGTTACCTCATCCAGCCCCTGTAACTCCTTCTTGAGTCTCTTCTTGTCCTTGGCCAGCTGGTCTCTCTTTCTTCAAACATTGAATCTCTGACAACAGAACCACAGACATTTGGACTTCATATGCAATTTTTAATAGAACAAAACTAACAATTTTTATTGAAAAAAAATCAAATAAATTAACAATGTGCTCTAATGAAACGTGGAAGGTCAAGGAAAGGTATAAGTGCACTTTCTACAAGTCTGATGCTTTGAAGAAGCCGCAGCAATATTCATCTGCAGCAAACATGCGCATAAATAGCGCAACAGTATTATAATTACTAACCGCAGTTTGATTTTGGCATATTGGCATTGATGACACACTGGTTTGGTCTACAGATGGAGACACGCATACAGTCATACTACAAATGTACTTGATTTCACATTTGCAAGGGGTCTGTGCACCATCATGGATGTGGCCAGCAGGCTTCATTTTATAATTACAATTTAACACAGCTCTATAGTGGCACACCGTACTGTTCAGGACAAGAAAGGTGTAAAGGAGCAATGTTCATACAAAAGCACACACTGACCTTGGGGATTTGTGAAAGGCGAGGCACTATTTGAGCGCCTCCCAGCCCGCCTCCTGCGACCATTAGGGGTCAGTGACCTCTCCAAACAATGAACTTGCTCTCTGGAGCGATGCACCTGATTTTCCAAGTCTTGAATTCTAAGCTGCCCCTCAAAAATAGAAGATTGCAGGGCAAAACACACCAGCCAAATCGCTTATCATATAAACAAACTTGAATGGCCACATTAATTAGTTGATTTTCAAATCAATTTAACCACACTTTGATTTTCGGAGAAGGGATAGGTAGACATCTGGTCACCTCTCCAGCCACTTTGAGGACTGGCAAGAATAATGTTAGGCAAGCATTCTGCTTTGGCTCAAATTCTACACCCCCCAAAATAAAAAAAATGAAGAAACTGATAATTAAAAAACAGAAATGAAGCCGAGGTTGCTACACGTTGATTATTGACAGACTGAGCCACAAGAAGCAGCTCAGAGCGCATGTCAGCTGCCGAAGGCAAGCACTGGACTTTTTTGTTCCATTAGCTAGTCTCTAATTTTGAGTAGCTTTAAATCGAATGCTGAATCAAATGGATGAAGTTTAATTGGTGTCATGAAGAGTGTGAAGTGGGCGTGATGACTACTGAATGAAAACTGCTGCTGTAGTGCTTGTATTTGCTTTCGGAACACTGGGTAGGATGCAAACATGGCCTTGGACGACTCGACACCAACTTGGTGTCGGTGCTTGCATTTTTTGCTGGGGGTGGACCAGCAGTTTGTACCCCTTTTCTAGGACGGGTCGGGTAGATAATTTAATCCCAGGTGAAATCTTAGCTGTAAGCTCGGTCCAGTTACAGCAGCCATATTTCTGTCTTGCTCGCAAATCCTATCAGTGCCAAATATGCCAGAGTTCAGTTTAATTTCTCTTGAACTTCAATGATCTCAAGAGTAATCGTAAGACCTTTGTTGTGCTGTTCATCTGTTGGATTTGGCAGGCTACTCACTAAGCTGATGGCGTCTGCCATTACATTCAGCAAATTCCAGAGAGAAAAGTCAATGAGGGTCAGGCATAAAGGCGTGGTAAGAAATTGACTCACTGGCCTTTGTTTCCCCTATAAATTGGTGACTAGTTTGGTTTACGTTTAACGCTTTAATAGTCTCTGTGTGGGTAGTGTTGGTCTTCAACTCTTTTTCGTAGCGTTTCATTAGCTTGTTGTGCATTCGGACAGTAACCGGAATATCGAGACAGGCATTTTGAAGAAAGTTTTATTGGAAAGCTCTCAGTATTCACGAGCCATACAAATATATCAGGGATTCTGGAAAGCTGAGTAAATCTTGTAAATTAAACCCCATTTACCTCCACAAATCTTTCAAAATCCATGAGGCTTTGGGAGAAGTATGTCAGACCAATTAAAGCAGCCACTATGACCTCAAACGAGATTTGAAGCCCTCTGGAAAAAAAATCTGATGAAAACAGCCTTGGGTTCCTACAAAGTGGCCCATTTTGGAGTCTTTCAGGAACTTGAGAAACTCATGTGGCGTTATATGAAACACTTTCTGTCCCCGGGTAGATCCAATCTGCCAAACTTGGCCCTAGACATGCCAGAGTTTGTGCTCGGTTAGGCATGATTCCTTCCTCCATGGAATATGCTAATTGCTAGGCAAGCCGTAGGGGCCTAAACAAGCTAAAACTCCCCCCACCCCCATAGCTCCATGTTGATGTGGTGGAGTGGACTATAAAGATCCACCGTAAGATAGTTATTGAATGATTTTGTCCGCCAACAGAGAGCGTGCTTTAACTTTAACGGTGCCCTGATAATGGGGGCGACATGATACTAACTTTTAGGGTCGTGATAGGGGATAAATTCTGGGACATTTAGTTGTAATTTGATTATATTTCGATTGTAAACCTCCAATATAATTAGAAGTAATATGATTAAGGTGCTTAATATCTTTATTTACCCAAAAATTAAGGAGAATGACAATTCTGTACGGGCGTATGTGTAGTAATATTGTAAAGTTTTACTACCGGGATTAGTTTGCGTCTGGACTTGCCGCCAAAACCTAGCGACATGTAGACGTTTATATTTTCAGCGGACGTCAAATCACCCAGATCCTGGTTTAATCTTCAAAAATATAAGTTGTTGGATCGAGGGGGAGGATCGGTTGGTAAGCTAGATTATGTTGAGTTAATTAAATGATCTATTGTGGCCTTGAAAAAGGAAAAAGGACACACCCTGAGGGTCTGTGTGGGCCCAAGACATGTCGACAAACTTAAATGTAACGTTACATGTACTTATTATGTCTATACAGGCATAGGTATCATGTCAGGATGCCAGAATGACATGTAATATTGTGTCACATCAATTGTTAGGAATTTACAATACTGAATATTAATAGGCTGCAATCATGTATTTTGTCACATTGTAGGTTTTCTTCTTATACGAGAAAGAGTGCGGATCAGTGAATAAATTAACCAGCCAAGTCAACCCAACCAAGGTGTCATGACCTATTCCTGCAGTACTACCTCAGGATAAACAAAAATACTACATTAAGATGCAGGTAATCAATCTGCTTCGACCATAAAGGCAGAAATGCAGTACAATTAATACCATAAAGCAGCGAAGCAGCGATGGACGGGGGACTGTCCATATTGCGCGCTGAAAGGCTATGGCAACGGACAGATCAAAGTTACATGTAGTTTTTCTCCACAACTTAACGAGTCTGTGCATCTCACATTTAATTAAAAAGTTCCGCTGAATTCCTGAATTCCTCGCCGCTTGTCTGGTACTCTGGCCAAGTCTAATGGTTTATGTACAAAATCTAACAGAAACTGAACCCATCTCCCTGCGGCACTCTGGGAGATAGATAAATACATAAATTAGTTGAATGTAAAAAAGGAACATTTTCAATTCAATTTTATTTTGTCTTCCGACGCTGCTTTCATGTAGCATTTTCATGTCATCCTAAAAATGAAAGTTACCGGCCTAAAAAACAAAGCATATCGCCACGTACGGTAGGGCCACTTGTATTATTTGGGCTGAAAGTTTGCATGGGGGATCCTAAATTCTTAGATGGTATATGCAAAATGTAACGCGTACTGAAGCTTTGAACGAGAACTTGGATGTCAACGAAACTAGGTCCTACTCTCTGGTATGTGGGGAAGCCGTCATTTAAACATCTAAGAAACCAACACTCATAAGATCGTCTCCACTTTCAGCAACAAGGTCACCCGTACTGCGTATCCTAGTGCGCCCAAGGGGAGGGGGTGGGAATTTTGATTAAGAGACGACTCCACATTTTTATCTGAAATTGCTAATCCCCCAAAGAAAGATGGTAAAATGTGAGGCTACCGGAGCTTTCAACAGCAACATATCTCATCACAATCCCGAAGAACAAATCAAATGAAATACTGGAACACTTTCCGCTGTTTGATTCCAAGAAGGCTGCAGTCTCATCACCCGGGTCTTCCTTATTACTCTACCATAAATAACATTTTTTTTGCAGACTAGACAAAATAGCCAACCATAAACGTACGTCTGTCCGGTAAATGTCGAAACCAAATGCTTCCCTCTGTAACAGCTGTCCGTACCCCAGGAGAGGAAAAGGGAGAACAAAAGAAAACAATGAAAAAAATTAACATGCAATAACTTTTCTATGGGAGAAAATTTGCTCTGGAAAAGGCCCCCCCACAGGCGATCAAGCAGGTATAGGAGACTAACTCCGAGGCATCGCATCTCTCCTATATAACTTGCAGGCAAAAAGTAAACGCGCGACTGCGAGTGGCCTAAAACAAACTACCCAGCTCTGAGCTTTTACAGCACTTTCCGCTTCACTATCTGCCAAAAAAAATTTCATACCTTATGTAAAACATACGGTGCTCTCACACTCAGACGAGATAATCATTTTCTTTCTATGTGCATGTCAGAAGAGTTAATCATTCTCGGGGGCTTACCCGCCCTGCCTTCGTTCGAGAAAAGCCACCCATCGAAGAATCGGCCAGGCCACAATGCATCCTTTTTGTTCTAAACGGCCAAAAAACTACTTTGCAAAATATTTGCACAACCATTTCCAAAGCTCCTGCCAAAACGTTTAGAGGATGGTAGAAATGTGTTCCGCCGAGTGTTACGCAACATCTTCATTCTCACATTGTGTGTAACTCCCATTCACCGAGGTAGTCTTTTCATTCAGTATCACGTGGTCGTCGATCGGCACAATGCGCGAAATTTGAAGTATCTGCATTAACACGTTGAAAAAGGTGGTCACGCAAATACCTGCCGTGCATTGTGTTAAAACTGCGTGTCTCTTAATGCAGGCTTGCTAACCAGGCTTTCCGTTCATTTGGTTTCCAGTCCATACTCGTTCTACTCGTTTCGCCAGATTTTCTCCTGATACTGCGGTTTCCTCTAAAACAGGACCTTCTTCCTAACTCTGTAATGTGATGCTGATAAACGTTGGCCCGAATAGCCCAAGTAGCTGAAAGTGCCATTGGATTTTATACAAAACAACACTTAACAGCCTCAGCAATCGTGTCTTTCAACCTCCATACTGCTGGTCGTGATGTTGGAGGCTTGCAAATGTGTGTATAGATGGACACTCAGTGCGGGTGAGCTGTCAACGAAAACATATTACCTTTCAGTGAACGTGTTACAAAAATGGTCACTATGAGAATATGTTCCAGCTTTTAGGGACCAATTCGGAAACTTGCCCTAATTACTAACACAGTAAGATGTGCCAGTCCTTGCGCTTTAGTCTTTTTTGTTTTTCTGCAGATACTGACTGGATGTACGGCTGACTGGATGTGCGACTGCCCCGTGTCCAAGTTGAGTATTTTATGATTGTTCCGGGTAGCAGGGGTAGCTCTTGCTACCCTCAGGAGGTGATTGGCCCGGCCCTTGCCAGGTCACGTTTGTCCTGTTATC